TTATTTTTGATTTGCTTTAGGAGAGTCTTTCGAAGAGTACAAACCATTGTGGTTTGCCAAAGCTCAGCATGAATGCACTGGTGCAGTGATTCATCTGTTTACCGGCGATTACTGGGAAAAAAAGAAGGCCGGTGACTGGTCGATGTGCCCAGATATATTTTAGCTTCTTTGTCTATATAGATGAAGCGTACTTGTAACTTTTTTCTAGCTGTATCTGTGATAAATAATATGGATATGCCAAGAGCAAAATACTTGTTTAGATTTAGCTTATTGGTGGAATGCAAATTACCTGTGAATTTAAGTGGTCTTGTTCATATCTATTCAATCCCGTTGGTAAAACCTAATCTTTTTGCCTATTTTTGTTAATATATTCCGGAATTGTAGCTGTAGTTTCTCTTTTATTGTGCATATTGCTTCTCGTCATTTTTCTAATTAGGATTAAACCAAATAGTTCTGCCATCTTTGCACGAATACTAATTCTGCCTTTTTCCTTCGCTTCAACGTTATTTTTATTGTAAAATTTATCTTTATTTTATTGCTTGTATGCTTAGTTATGTTTCAATTTTATACATTTTTTTTGTACAGGTTGATACATCCCCGTTTTTAATAGCTATTGGCCTTATTTCCTCTATCTACTAGTGCTCTTAAGATTCCTGTTTTTTTTAGTCTCTTCTTGTTTTTCTTGATTTTAATTGGTAGCTAGGTCTTAGCAATTTTAGATGCACAATGAAAGGCATTTTGCGTTTATTTTTACGGGTCATTCGGCAAATTTTAGTTTAGGAGAATCTATTTGACATCAGCATTTCTTCAAATGATGGAAACTAAAGTTTCCGGAAGTCCTTTAGGACTTAGTGGATTTGAGTAAGGCATCTGGAACTGTAATATTTGTTTATTCTTTGCTCTAATTTATTTAGTAATAATAGTTTTTGATATGCAAATAGTCATTCTTTACATTGTTTACCCGTATGTAACTTGTTTCTTCTTGATTTATAGCTTGATTTCTGTAGTTAATGAGGTGTAATTTTATTGACCCAGGTCTTCAAAATTTTAGAGTATTTTGTACGTAAAATAGTCTCCCTTTTTTGGATGTATTTGAGCATATTCTGAGGCATGTAAATTTGGAGGCTCAGGTTTCCTTCATTTTTTTTAATTCACGAGGGAAATGACTTCCCATGTAGCAGTTTTGTTTCATTATTTTTGCTTATTTTGTTAGGTATGGAATTGCTCTCCTGAGCCTTTCTCTTTGAGATATAACTCTGTTGTATGGGAACCAGTTGTGATTAAATTTTTTGCTTTTCATTTGCAAAATAAAAGGAATTTATCGTGGACTAAATGAAGGCAAAGGTATGCTACATCGGTGCCAGTTGCATGTACAATTTGAGGTGTTGTAAAATACTTCAAACGTTGGCCGTGGATCTCGTTCATAAACTAACTGCAGAGTACGAAGGCGATATAATGCTGATGAGACAGTGTCAGTTGGTCCAGCGAATCTTGGTCGGCGATGTTGTTCGGACATGCAATCCATCAAGAAGTTCCAGCTATAAACGGAGTTTCAGGAATATGTTCACGTATGCACGGCAAATTGAAAGATTTTAAAATTGGAGTAAATCTGTGCGGCTTTCGTCACAGTTTCTCTTTTTGGTTTGTAAATATTGCTTCTTAGATCTACCAAAAAGAGGCGGGTCTTGACAAAAGTTACAAAAACTGAACCGATTTTCAACTTACAAATCTAAGGGACAAGATGCGGGACATGGCAAACCCCGGTCTGGCCAGGTGAAGCATTGCTGTATCTCATCGACCGTTCGTTGATAGTGCGGTTCAGCCCCTAATGTGGCACATTCCCAACCGAGAACTCCAAACATCCTGTAATTTTCAAAGCCTCTCTATTTTCTGAATAAGTCGTTTAGAGCTATTTACAATTCCTTTATTCGATGCCTTACCAAACGTCACTTTCGGTGCGATGTACAATATGACTTCGATCTAAGCATGAAACTATTTCAGGTGGAAGCCATGGGACCGGAAGGCTTGGTCCAAAGTCGATTGGTAGTCCAAAGTCTCCTAGTTTGGCTTTACAACTGGAAAACTCATCCCAACTTGGTTTACAAAAGATAGATTTTTTGGTTTGAGTTACCGACAAAAGTTTTTGTGCTATCGAGTTACAAAGTTGTACTCACGAAAGCACATTGTAGCGTTTGATTAACAGACCCTGAAATTTATACTTGGTCAGATCAGTGGATGTCAATAAAACGTTTCGAGCTGCAACATCGCCGTGGGTGACTTCATTTCCAGATTGGTCGCGACTTTCGTGTAGATACTTTAACGCTTCTGCGACTTGGCGAAGTATGTTCACTATATCCAAAACTCTTACTGGTGGTGGATCATCAGCTTTCTGCAACACTGATACTACAGTCAATTTTAAAATTGCCTTTTGCTGAACTATGACTTTGAAACGAAAAAAAGAGGCATGAAACATTTCTGGAATGTGGGAGCTGTGTCGCCAAAAGCCAGCTTAGAACTTACTCGAATGTGTTCTCGGAAGTATTCGGCTAGTGACCCTCCAGCTAACCACTCTAAGGCAATCATTGGCCGAAAAGCTTGAAATGACAGCTTGTTGACAGCGATTATCTTCACGATATTTGGGTGATTCAGCTTTGCCATACGATAAGCCTCTTCCAATAGTCCCATTGATTTTTGTGGCATTGGGTAACTCATCTGTAAAAACCTATGACTGTTGTCGGTAAGTTACTTCCTCTTTAGTGACAGAAGGTTGCCTTTTAGAAGAAGTACAAATTCTATTTTTTTTCAAAGTTGCTTAGTAAATTTAGCTTATTATTTCCGATCATCTTCCTCAAGTTGGAAAATAAAGACGAAGCATTAACTAGTGCTCTTCAAGCTAGACCTCTTTTTACAAAATCCGCATCTTATTCTTCTGTTCTTCCTGTAGGAATTTTTTGCTTTGTGAGGGTTAACCAGCATTTTGTTCTGAATTCACCTTGTTTACTGTTTCTCAAGCAAACAGTTCTGAACAGTATATCTTTAGAAGTCGGGGTAGATTCAGAAGTCGTTGGGCATTAAGCGAGACGTAGCTATTTTGAATCTATACAAATTAGCGTTAGTTGCCCACCTTGAGCGGAATAAAGGAGAAAGGAAGAAAGATTGCGCAGAAATGCTGGACAAGATGAGTAAATTGCAAAGATGATTTATCTAACATGCAAGAGTTTCCATCTTGTGTGTTACTTGAATTTCCTCTCCAGCTTTTTAAAAAATTTCGAATGAAATTGGGAGAAATATGTACAGTTGGAAAAGAATCGTCTTTTGTAAAAAAAAAAAACGCTGAAATGCTTTGCAGGTTTTTGAAATTTTTGAGCCATATTCCAATGCAATTAAATGTCCTGACCAAAAATGTTTATTATTTGATATCTGCAACGCAATTGCCCTGTATGGGCATTTGTTTACCTTAACGGCAGCAAAAACCTTTTGCTTAAAACGTGTACGAGTTCGTGGAAAAACGTAGCCTTTGAAGACAAAGCCAACCGCTCCTTGACCAAGTTTGATATCAGTCAATTCGATGAACATATCATCCACCAGCAGATGAGCAAGTTCTAAATGGTCAGTTTTACTTCTCAGTCGACAATTTGCAACTTTACTCTCGTGATATTGAAATAATCGGCTTCCCTGTCTTCAATATTTGGGAATTTTCTACTGTAGAATGAGAGCAATTTTTTTTGCTGTTTTTGACTAAAGTAAATAAAATGATGCATTTAGATGTGCAATATTTCACGTCTCGTCTTCAATTATTGGTGTCTGCGTGTCAAATTTTTTTAAACTTCAAGTATTAACAAGTGTTTTTGATAAAATTTTAAAGGCGCTTTTTTTTGCTCCTTCCCTTGAAATCAAACAGTGGAACGGTTATCTTTCTGACTAAATATATTTTTAAAAAGGAAGGTAGAAAAGTTGGGTTTAGGGAGCGGTTTCAAGAAGCAAGAGACATATTCTAAATTATAACCTCCCTAATTTTGCCAGTGACTATCAAAAAAGTTTCACCTTTCAGCAAAAAAATCTTATCATCTTCGAACTATAAAGTAAAAGAAGCGAGTATGTCACCGGTCCTCAAACTTAGAGCCAGAACAATGGTTACATAGTTTTAAGAAAAATATTTGAGAAGTAATTTTCAAGACATTTTACTCGGTTCGCGTTGGTCCGACGTCTCCTAATTAAAAACTTTTTATATACAGATGCGGTATTGTAAGCTGTCAAAAGAAAGAAACAGAGGATTCCCAAAGCGATACTCAATTTTTTTTTTGAACTTGAGTTATTTTATAAAGCTTACCTTTTTTTAAAAACTTTAGCCTTTTTTTGTAGGGATAAATGGAATCTGGTACTGGTAAGCAGACCCTTTTGCCATCTGGAAGAAAGTTTGGGTGATATTTACGAAACTTTTTATTTCAGTGAACGCTTTTCACTTTACAGTCCTTTCTGGGCTGCACTTTAGTCAACATTATTTGGAATCGCTGGCCGAAAATGAGCACTTTGCTATTGCTCAAAAAGCTACAGTGAAAGACGCGGTGCTTCTAGAGTTACGAAAACAGTTTTAGACCACGTGCAAAGCGTAAAGACGATAAAAATTGACTTACATTTGCAAAACCATACCAAAGCAACTAAGTAGAGAGTAAAAAGAGCCAGAACGGTAGCCCATGGATCAATATAATGAGATGACGTACAAACATGACTGGTCTCCTCGTCGCCCATGTTCGTTTAAGAAAACGAAACCTGTTTTTCGTCTTTTTTGCCTTTCAAACATTTCTTTCGCCGATTGTTATACTTAACACAGCTCTCTTCGCCAGCGTCACAGTTTCAGTTTCAAGTAACACTATTAAAACCACTGCTAATACAGCCATATACCCTTCACAGCGTATCCACCTAGTTGAACATAAAAAAAACAGCAATCCGGAATTCGCTTACCCTCCTAATAAGCACTTATTGTGAGTTGCCGTCGTAATCATAAAAAACTTAGTTCCCCTTCCATTAATAACGAAATTGACCCGTCTAGGAAAGTTTGTCTCTAGCAGCACTACGCAGCGTGCAGTACAAAACACTTTGAAATAAGGTTTATGAATCACTGTACAGAGAACATCGATGGAATGAGGACTGTAAAAAAATAAATGAAATCAATAAGGACTGGAAATGAGATAAAGAGATGAGGGAATCAAAGAACAACCCGCTCTCTACAAAACATTAGAAGAGAGAACATTTCAACATTAATTTTCATTAGCTCAATCACACAGGTAAATTAAAGAGACTATTTCAGTGAAAGAAATGCATTTTTCATACAGACATAATGTTTCCAAACAAAAAAGTCCCTAAAAACGTTTCATTAGAGCTTACTTTCAATGTCAGTGCAGTAATACCTACAAGAGCATAGTAAAAGAAGGCCAGCTCCTTAAAGCAATGTAGGAAACTATCAAAAGCTAAAGGGTTATATGCGCTCAGTCCTGCTGAGTCAAACAAGCTAATGCATAGTTAGACCGTAAGTTAGTGAACTTCCGTTTCGCACAGCGACCCGACTTTGCTTTAAATAAACTAGAATCGTCATTCTCGCTTTTCCCGTTTGGTAACGAATCACTGAGTTTTCTTACGGATACCTCTCCGTTATCGAACACAGCCATACGATTTTCCTTGTCTTCGACATATATAACATCCGTTATAGCCTCCCAACATACTAACATTTCATCATTATCCACCTGCAATACATACGCGTATTTCGAAGAAGCTTCCCGTAGTAAAAAGAGGCAAAGCAGACCAAATAGAACTGACCATCTTCACCACTTATGTTGTTAAAATTAAAACAGCAAAGTCTTTACAGAAGAAGTAAAAGCTTTACCTTTAACAAATGTTGTAGGCCCACAGTGATTTGGAGCCAAAATGGGGAACCAGACGCCTCCAGAAAGTAAGAGTAAAGCGTTAAAGCTATTAGTGAAGGGCGAAATTTAAAGTTTAATTTCGCAGAACGAATAACTGCCTCTAAAGGAAAGCGAAAAATATCCTCCAAATAACTGCGGGCCAAATCAGTCTCTGGCGAAAATCCTGTTGAAACGAGCATCGCTTCAATAAAACGATACGCACTGGGCACATCTATAACAATATTAAACAAATGAAGTCTCTTCTTGGCCTTTGACTCCTTGAACAAGAACTATTAAAAAGATTTAAAGGTCTTTGTAACTCATTAAAAATCCAAAACATTTTTAGGAAAACGATACTGTACACAAATAGCCACGAATAATTTACCAAGATCCCATTTCAACGCACTTAGTACTGCCCTTTCCATTCTGTTCAATTCACGAACGCTATAACGAAGACTGAGTCTAGCAATTAAATGATCCGCTCCTGTAAGGCATTCTTCACAGAATTTGATGGCCAAAGACAGGCAAGCTGCAGCGACACAATTGACGTATCTAAAAATAACTGGAAATTATTAATACCACAGCTCCATAAAAGCAAAAAGATTGTCAAAATTGATGTAAAGCGGTAAGATATTTTACAAAAAAACTAACTTGGTCTGTACACGCTTGGCAAGCAGAACACGATCCAAAGTTGCAGCTGCAAGGCTCATTGTATCAATACCAAGATTCAATTCACGGCATGACACTACAATCCAAGCAGCTTCCCTATTCCGATCCTCATCTGTAGCCAGCGACTTACCCTGAAGTGTACATGATTACAATCAAGTCAAACGGTCCGTGAATGTCGAAACCTAAGACGGCAGTGCTGAACGTTTGAAAATTGAGAAAATATAAAGGACGATGTAGCTCAGCCTCACACCAAAAAATTCAGAAGGTAGATGACCAAAAAAAATTTTTGTTAACTTACTACTGGCAAGCTGTTAAGAGAACTAGTGCGAAGCCGCTCTCGACTAATAAGTGTGTTTAGCATTAAATACCATGACGCACCAACTCCTTCCCCCATGTGTATCCTGGTCTGCAATTGTCATACAATGATCAGCCTCAAATACGTTAATCAAGTTATTTCAAACGCCGCAAATCGTATCACAGAAGAATAATAGACGAGCGACAAGCTAATAAAAAGCATTATCTGTATATTATAAATTTTACTTTTTTCGACTGGAAATTGCAAAAATAAAAGTGAAAAGTTAATGATCAGAGCCTTCCGTCAAAACTGTTAATAATGCTGACACTATTCAATGGCCACGCTTTCCCATTTAGTCCTTTTTTTTTTAACACCACACCCTCTCGTCCTAATAGCAGTCGAAAAAATCACATCACTTCATTAGTGATGAAAAAACAGACACAAAATTATAAATAGCCAGAAATGTAAATATGTGGACCATATGACTTTCCTACCTATAAAGTAACTGTAGATCGAATAAAAAAAATGAGATCTACACTTTCCCATATGAGCGAGTAGCTTGAATAATTATTTTTAAAAAGCAATTTTGACCCAGCATATCTAAAGATAATCTACTAAACTTGTCCAGTATCTTTTGAAATAGAAGATACATCCAAAACAACTAATAATTTTTTTAAACAATATGATCACAAAATGATAAAGCTTAACAAACAAAGTGCGAATTGCCATAGTATGAATCAGCTAAAAATAAAAAATAAAAAATAAAAAGTAATAACAATAACAATAATTTAAAAATAGTAATTCTATGAGTAATCTTTTGTAGAAACAAACACGTCAATTTTGAAATTCAAAAAAAGAACTTATTGCGCTTATAAAAAAAAAGTAAATAAAACAGTCAAAAGAAAGAATGCAGAAAACATGAAAAAAACGAAGAGAATTCATTTTGATAAGATTACTACGTGTAACACGTAACTGTTAAACACTAAAGGCGTTAAAAACCCCATCAAATAGATGTTTTTTCCTTTTTTTCAAGGAAAAATAATAGATAAAGTTATAAATTAAGAAAAATTTAGAGCGATTGTTTAGATATGGATGCTGCTTGGTTAATCCCCCTCATAAAACTTTTAATTAGCAGCCAAACAACAGAAGAAATAAAAACACAAGTGATCTATCGAAGCAACGAACCATAATAACTCCTGTAACTTTCTTTCCCCTTCCTTGAGCTTCCAGATCGGAATTCCAAATAAAAAGAAAGAGAATTTACTCATGAAAACTACTTTGTTCAACCATTCTTTTGAAATCCGGTATATAAACCATTAAGAAGAACAATAATGTCTCTAAAAACAAACAATGTTTGATAAAAATAGAAAATAGTACTGTTTCTACAACCGTAACCAGCGTTTTGATATATAAAAAATAATCTGCAAAACTCTTTTTAACACTTTCAACCCATGCTTATTTTTAAAAAAACCCTTCGAAAAATATATCATTCAATGTCAGCACACACTACAATTAGTTCAAAAGTATATAAGGAAAAACCAAGAGCAAAAACATAACCTATTGTAACCTTCTTTTTTTTGATAATCATTCAATATCACCATACCTGCTCATCATCATGCCCTCTAATCCAACTGGACACCACCAAAATTACAATGTTCATACACTAATTCCTGCAGTAAACCAACAACTGTGTACTTTTTTTTTTACAAATATTAAAAAAGTAGTCCAAAAACTTACAAGTTCAAAGATTAATAATGCTTTTTTCATAAACTCCGTTCAACTAACTTTATTGACGCACTTTTTGACCTGTTCTCATTGCAACCGCGCTCACATAACTATCTGATTAGCATTGATTGGACTTATATAAAACCACCAGGAGAAGTAGGAAGTAACCAGCACAATCTACACCACCTCTGTCAATAAAACCGACTTGCCTGAAAGCCAAAATATACATGTCAGAAAGTGAAAAAAAATAACACGGCGGCCAACACAGCGATCAAAGAAAGACAACTAGACAACCACAAGTTACAGAACTGAACGCTACCAAAAAGCATTAAAAATCATCAAAAACACACAATTATCCAACAGCAGTTTTAATTCAAAAAAAAGAAAAAAAAAAAACAAGATACGAAATGATGATGCCCGATTGGATCCTTAAACTGAAAAAAACTAATAGTAATAATTATAAAATAAAACAAAACAGACAAGAATTGTTGCCTATCATTGGGACTTTGGTTGACAAGTTCCAGAACAATCATCATAAATGTTCAAGTAATCTGAATAAAAGTAATAATAACTTGTCGAAAAGTTAGTGGTGTTTACGGGAAAAATTGGTACATATGAATACGAGAAATTGATCAAACAAACAGAAAGCACCTCCATCGTCGTCTTTGAGCAAAAAATATACCTACAGTTGTTGGGTTTTCAGTTTCAAATACCATCAT